CACTACACTGCTTACATGATTGTCTTTGGTGTTAAGGCACTACACTGCTTACATGATTGTCTTTGGTGTTAAGGCACTACACTGCTTGCATGATTGTCTTTGGTGTTAATAGCAATTCACTGCTTGGATGATTGTCTTTGGTGTTAATAGCACTATACTGCTTGGATGATTGTCTTTGGTGTTAATAGCACTACACTACTTGCATGCTTGTCTTTGGTGTTAAGGCACTACACTGCTACATGATTGTCTTTGGTGTTAAGGCACTACACTGCTTACATGATTGTCTTTGGTGTTAATAGCAATACACTGCTTACATGATTGTCTTTGGTGTTAAGGCACTACACAGCTTACATGATTGTCTTTGGTGTTAATATAACTACACTGCTTACATGCTTGTCTTTGGTGTTAATAGCAATACACTGCTTACATGCTTGTCTTTGGTGTTAATAGCACAATACTGCTTGTATGATTGTCTTTGGTGTTAATAGCACTACACTGCTTGCATGATTGCTTTGGTGTTAATAGCACTACACTACTTGCATGCTTGTCTTTGGTGTTAAGGCACTACACTGCTTACATGCTTGTCTTGTCTTTGGTGTTAATAGCAAAACACTGCTTACATGCTTGTCTTTGGTGTTAATAGCACTATACTGCTTGGATGATTGTCTTTGGTGTTAATATAACTACACTGCTTACATGCTTGTCTTTGGTGTTAATAGCACTACACTACTTGCATGCTTGTCTTTGGTGTTAAGGCACTACACTGCTTACATGATTGTCTTTGGTGTTAAGGCACTACACTGCTTACATGATTGTCTTTGGTGTTAAGGCACTACACTGCTTACATTATTGTCTTTGGTGTTAAGGCACTACACTGCTTACATGATTGTCTTTGGTGTTAAGGCACTACACTGCTTACATGATTGTCTTTGGTGTTAAGGCACTACACTGCTTGCATGATTGTCTTTGGTGTTAATAGCAATTCACTGCTTGGATGATTGTCTTTGGTGTTAATAGCACTATACTGCTTGGATGATTGTCTTTGGTGTTAATAGCACTACACTGCTTGCATGATTGCTTTGGTGTTAATAGCACTACAATGTTTACATGCTGAACACAGTATGGTTCAAAATTTCCAGGTCTTATGGAATGATAGGTCTGGCTCTGTGCTGTTCCATTGAATGGCCATTGTTATTTCATTTACAGTGGATGGTCTTCTGACATGTAATGCTGTAGTTAGATAAATACAGGACTTTAATTTCATTCATAAATATACCATATGATACATTCTTTGAAGTACCATAATAACATTCAACATTGAAACAAACTGCCCATGTCAACCATTTGTAGATCTGAAACAAAGAGAAAACATTTTTTTAGAGTGATTATTGTTGTATAATTGGGGCACTGTATTTTATCAACTTTACTGAAATGGTAAATAAATGAATGTGTACATTTGTATGATGACATCTCACTGTGAAGTTCCTACTGGTTCAGATATTTTGATGATTGTATCAACACTGGGTTTCACCAAAAGACTTCTTATGATGTCTAGTTGGTCCTAAATAAAAATGTAGACAGCTAATAAGGCTGCCAAAATGAGCATATTGACAATCATCTTGATTGTATAGATGGTCATATTGGTAAGGGAATTTATTCTAAAGGTGGCTGTTTTGTCATAAAAGTAAATTATGCTAACTTGAATTCACTATGGCTATCCCAATTGCTAATTTGAAAATCATATAGCTGAGAAATAAGTGTTGGTTTCAACACACACTCAGCCGATACTAAAGAAGATAGGTCTTATCTTTGAATTCCTGGAAATTCTTTTCACATAGAGCATCAGTCCCATGAAGATATTCTTGTTTGAGTTTTGTTTTAGACACAATTTTTTAACAAGGGTTCCATGAAACAGTTTCTTTCCACATTCAGAGTTATGGGTCTAGTGCAAAAACAAAAATATTATATTGTACAGAACCTTTGATATTGAGTTTCTGATGTCTCTGAGACATGCTATTTATGACGTTTTCTCCAAAAAGACTTTATAAAAATAATGTTCAACACATTGCAGCATACAACATGCCAGCTTAATGTGATTGTAGATTTTTCTCTATACCTGGATAAAACCCTAGAAGATGACTTTATAATATCTTTTAATTCTTTTAAAAGGTTTTGACAGACAATGGTTGTCATGGTAATTTTCCACAAACATTTTAATTTGATTTGGAAAGTGACAATAGCAGTGCTTTGCATCATGGGTAGCATTTGATATTTTATGGTATGTAAATTAAACAGTGGATCATCCTACTGAAAAACATGGGGAAATGTTGATTAGCTTAAAACCTTTAATGTTGGAGAACTGCAGTTTTCTTTTCAAGCAGACATGTTGCTTCAGGACATTTTGTTGATTTTCATTTTATCCAATTACCTTTCCTGATAAGAGGAAATACCCAGGGCATTTTTGGGACCAAATGTGAGAAAATTGTATGGTTGATAGAATTTGAATAAATCCATTGTAAATAAGTGATGACCACCTGGCTTTGTGGGATTAGCATAGGTCTAGCATGGGGGGGTATTGTTTACAGTATTGTATTTTAATCATAATAAGACCAAGTGTATTGCTAAATATATTTGTCAAAATGTAGGGGTGGGTATGTTATCAAACAAATATATCCTTAGTAAATATTTGCCAGATTATTTAAAGCCCAGGTGAGAGGGTTTATCAAATAAATACAGTATTATAGACTGTGCTTATTGTTCCCTTGAAGATGTTTCATGAAAAGCAGGTAACATGGTTCATCTATCCAGCCATCTGTTTTTGTTTTCAACCAGCCATCAATATGTTCATCTATCACACACACACACACACATACACATACACACACACACACATACACACACACACACACACACATTGTATGATTATTTATAGGCCATGTTGAGATAAATTTATAACATAGGGGAAATATAAGGTTATCTTCAATCATTAAAATCAAAGGTCAAAATCAGTCAAAGGTCAATGGTTTGCATCTCTAAACAACCATGAAAAGGTAGTGTGTATAATGTTATGTTGTCTGCCTGATTGTATATCTGTTTGTTTGCTTTTTCCATTTTGGGGGCAGAGTAGTCTATAGTACTCACCTTCATGGATCACTCATCTATATTTATGTGGGTTGAGTCTCAGCTTGATAGCTGTGTGAGAAAGCTGCCAGTAGCTTCCCCTGGTTCATTGGTTCTTTTCTACATAACCATATATAGTTGCCACCATGTTTATCATGTACAGAAAAATGGCATCAAACCCCACAAAACCAAACCAAGCCAAGCCTTTTAATTTCTGCACAATAACTTTTCTTGTTTTTTTCTATCTTTATCCACTCAGAAGATCTGTCATTTTGTAATTGGCTGACCATTACTAGATGAATGACAGTTCCCTTCCCCCAGATCATACCATAACTAAATGCTGCAGGAATATGACCCAGTAATCAGATATGTCATGATGCTGACCTGTTTACCAAGATTTGTCCAAGACTTCCTGAAACCCAAAAACTTTACTTGATATGTTCTCACACCCAACTTACATTAGTTGTTATGATGCTGTCCTAGTTACACATATTTATCATTGATTCCCCCACATCTGTCTTTGAAATTCCCATTTTTACGAAACTTACCCAACATAATTCTGGTTAGAAACCTGATATTGGTACTGGTATATATTTTACTTTTTTCCTACAATAAAACTTCCTTTGGTCATATGTATTAAGAATCCCTTTGGCTGTATGTGCCACAGGTGCTAATAATCCCTTTGGTCAAACAAAGGAAGAAGTCTGTTGACTTTGGGGTCAAAAGTTCAAAGGTCAAGATCACTCTGACTGAATTAAGATTTACTTTGATTAAACTTTGCAGATTGATATCATTTGATAAAGGAAGAAGCTTGTTGATATTAGGGTTAAAAGGTCACTGTAGCTGACGATGGAAAAAAAAATTTGCACATACACATCAGTTTTTGACCCTGTACCTTAACCAAAGTTTGTAACTTGTACTTTAGGTAAGAATTAAACATTGAATTTGATAGGTAAATGCTAAGGTCACTGACTAAAGGAAGAAAAATGATTTTTGCATAAAAACTTTGGTTATAGATTGTGAAAATGTAGCACTTAAATGTACAAAAGAAGCCTCTTGATTTTGGGTCTGAGGTCAGCTTCACTGTGACTGAAAGAATAAAAATGTGTTTTGAATGACACTTTAGTTCAGTGCCACATATCCTGACTGATGGGGGTGGGTGGCATTCATTTAAGATAAAAAGAGGCATGATGATTTTGGGGCAAATAATGTTCAAAGGTTAATGATATTGTGACTTAGAGACAAATGGATTTTGCACAATAACTTCTGTTCTAGAGTATGTTCCTTTAACAAACTGTGCATGGCATACACCTAGGCTAGATAAGATATCTACAGATTTTGGGTTAAAGGTCAGTGGTGATGGGCAAATAAGCAATGAATGGTGTCTGTGGCAAGCAGAAAGTGTAGTTGAGGACTGCCTACCTTGACCTACATGTTAAGGTCATGGTCATTGAGACCTATTGGTCTGCCATTTTCAGAGTCTGCTAACGTTGTTTCATTAGTGATTTAGTAAAACATTTATATTTAGACTAGCAAACTTTTCTGGGTTATTTAGTCAAAGTAGTCTTGCTCACATATAGATACTCCATGCTACATTTGCATATCCCATGCATATTTGTATATACCATGCTACATTTGCATATACCATGCTACATTTGCATATACCATGCTACATTTACATATACCATGCATATTTATATATACCATGCTACATTTATATATATATATATATATATATATATATATATATATATATATATATATATATATATATATATATATATATATATATATATACCATGCTACATTTACATATGCCATGCTACATTTACATATACCATGCATATTTGTATATACCATGCTACATTTGTATAAAAACTGCTTCAGTGGCCTAGTGGTTAGAGCATCCGCCTCGAATGCAGGAGGTCTTGGGTATGATCCCCAGTAGAGTCATACCAAAGATTTACAAAAATGGTACTAACAGCTACCTCGCTTGGTGCTTAGCATTAAGAGGTTAGTGTTAAGACTGGTCGGCCTGGTGTCCGGATAATGTGACTGGGTGGGACATCATGCTGCATATCTGCTGCATCATGCCACAGTGCTAGACATCATAGAGATATGCCTGAAAATTTTTTAAAGCTATGTTAAAAATCATAATCACATCACATCATATATATACCATGCTACATTTGTATATACCATGCTACATATGTATTCCAGAAGATGTGTTAGCTGTCTCAGTTCAGGTCATAGCCTTAAGGTCTAAATCACTAATCATTGTATTTAATCTTTTGTGTTTTTTACATGCTAGGTGGGGGTTATAAATTCAGATTTCATGTTAAACAGTAGGGGTTGAATGCATTAAACACTTCATGTAGCTTAGAGATATTTTTTTTCCATAGAGTTTATCTCTCCCAGTCCATCATGAATGTTTACCTCAACTAGAAATAAAAAATATTGCTATCATGTGTTTATCTACTAATTTATTCATGCCATCCTACTAATTATAACAGGTGTTGAAGTTATGAGTTTCATTTATTAACAAATCCAATGTACTAATGCAAATAAACACTAGCCCACATCACTGTTTTTTACATCTAAAATTATCATGTCCTGGTAAATATCAGATTGACATCAAGTGGTAGTACATGGTCAATATTTCTATCATATACATCATAACCCTGTCATGATTATCTTGTTTGGAAGTTTTATTGAAGAAACAAGAATCATAAAATTAAAAGACCATTATATGATAGACAGGCATGATAGGCGTATAAATCAGGTTGGGTATAGAGCCTGTGGAATGCTTCTATTATTGACTTTCTCTTGACAGGTGTAATAAATGGCAGTTTAATTTTGTGTAACAATAAAGATCCCTGGAATAACACCTATGGTGATCTGTTGGTGAGTCAGAAAAGTGTAATTACATTTGGCACAATCCTCTGATACTCTAGCTATCTATCTATAATATGTATTACAACCAATTTGGCTCTGAGACACCCATTCCCTTTTGCTGGCCAATTTACTATTACATGTGTATTTAGACCACCACACCTTTCTGTTATGATGAGTTAGTCCTTATCCAGTGTTGACATCAAAATGCTTGGTGACTAAAGAGATTCATTAAAAGAATCTCTCTTGATCAGTCTGCTTGTATCCCAGAATATCTATATTCACACTTTTATAGCTCTATTGACAGTTAGCAGAGTTTTGTTACTGTGCCTTGTAGAATTGCCATGAAATTTGAAACACACAATGATCCTAATGTCGATTTGCTCAGATCCAGAAAAAAAATTTGAATTGCTACTCCTGAATGGATGGTCATACCATCATAGTTTTCACTGAAAGACATCTTATGATATCAAGAGGAATATGATGCTGATCTGACATCCAGAATGAATACCATGGCATCCATCTTCAAAATCTTGTAGTCACTAATCTCTTGAAAAACATATGAACATTGGGTTTTCTCCAGAAGTCTTAAATAAAATAGTTCATTGGAAAAAAATTCAATAGAGGTCATCTTACATCTTACTACTTCTTTTGAGCATAAAGTCATGTGGTTTCACAGGAAGACTACTTATGGTGTTTTGTAAATGTAAATTGTAATAATCTGATTCCCAATATGGCAGCATGGTGTTTTGTTGGTCAGAAATGTAAATTGTAATAATCTGATGCCCAATATGGCAACATGGTGTTTAGTTGGTCAGAAATTTAAATTATAATAATCTGATGCCCAATATGGCAACATGGTATTTAGTTGGTCAGAAATATAAATTGTAATAATCTGATGCCCAGTATGGCAACATGATGTTTAGTTGGTCAGAAATGTAAATTGTAATAATCTGATGCCCAATATGGCAACATGGTGTTTATTTGGTTAGAAATGTAAATTGTAATAATCTGATGCCCAATATGGCAACATGGTGTTTAATTGGTCAGAAATGTAAATTGTAATAATCTGATGCCCAATATGGCAACATGATGTTTAGTTGGTCAGAAATGTAAATTGTAATAATCTGATGCCTAATATGGCAACATGGTATTTAGTTGGTCAGAAATATAAATTGTAATAATCTGATGCCCAATATGGCAACATGGTGTTTAATTGGTCAGAAATGTAAATTGTAATAATCTGATGCCCAATATGGCAACATGGTGTTTAGTTGGTCAGAAATGTAAATTGTAATAATCTGATGCCCAATATGGCAACATGGTGTTTATTTGGTTAGAAATGTAAATTGTAATAATCTGATGCCCAATATGGCAACATGATGTTTAGTTGGTCAGAAATGTAAATTGTAATAATCTGATGCCTAATATGGCAACATGGTGTTTAGTTGGTCAGAAATATAAATTGTAATAATCTGATGCCCAATATGGCAACATGGTGTTTAATTGGTCAGAAATGTAAATTGTAATAATCTGATGCCCAGTGTGGCAACATGGTGTTTAGTTGGTCAGAAATATAAATTGTAATAATATGATTCCCAATAGGGCAACCACAGCAGAGCTGATCTCTACTCATATAGTTGAAGGTGATATCAACATTAAGTTTATACCACAAGATGTCTAGTTCATACTAAATGAAACTGGTGTTGATCTGACATCAAGTATGGTCACCATGGCAGTGAGTTTGAAAGTACTACTGTTGTTAATCCCCTAAATGGAAAGAAGTATTATTACATGGTTTCACAAAAATACTATGTATTGCATCTAGGTGTCAGTCTTAATTCAAATATGACTGCCACAATGATCATATTAAAAATCTTATTACAAATTGCTCTTGAATGGATGGTTGTATTAACATGGGATTTTCAGCATAAATTTTAGAAAAAGTTTTCAATATTCTGGAATTTTGCTCTGGAATAGTATTTCAGTTGAGATTAGAAATGTCCCCTCTATTTCCTTTTTCCAAACACAGTGTATCAAGTGGCTTTTGAGATGCAGGTAAATAAATAAATTCCTTTGACTGAGGGCCTCAAGGCAGATTGGTTCTTAACTAATTGTGTTACCCTCTTTTAAAAAAGTACTACTACTACTACTACTACTACTACTACTACTACTACTACTACTAATAATAATAATAATAATAATAATAATAATAATAATAATAATAATGATAATAATAATGTCTTTTAATATTGTCCTAAATAAAAATGGTGCTTATCTTGCAACTATTATTTTTACCATGGCAGTTAAAAAGAAAAAATGATCTTGTCAGGAATTCTGGAAATTCTTTTCAGATAGTAAAAGACCAGCCCGTCCCTTAGAGGGACTCCATCTTTTAAAATTTACAGATAAAGCTAATTACATTCTTTTCTGTTTTTCAGTGAAGTATTATGTCCAGTGATGATCCTTATCAACATGCAACCATATCTGACATCAAAGCAATGGCTTCTTCAAATTCCATGGGCTTTTGGTTGTCCTCTTCGAGATTGACTTTTGTGACATCTGCCAGCTGCTCTTTAAACATGGATTATGAGGATCATTTGAATATGTGTAATACATGAATTTGCTTTCCTACAAGAGATTAGATTCCGTAAAAAATTAAAGGACAACTTGATTTGCAATATTTTCCTGCAAGGGCATCCTGATATATTCAAGTCTATGGATAATATTAAGTGACTGTGAAAACATATTCTTCTTGGAAATATGACATTCTGATATGGAATTATTATAATGAACAGTTGTCTTAATTATACATTAAGAATTAATAATTAGAGATTTTAATGTAAATGTAAATGTGTGAATTTGTAGTCAGTTTGAGTTCTGTGAAATCTGTGATTATTTTTTGAAAAATCATGGCTTCGGGTAATACTTACCGTGCAAGACCAGTCATTATAACTGGGTCTGAAGCTCATGCCAATCATTCATCAAACTTACATGAGAAATATTTTTCAAGTGTGAATGAAGAAAATACTGTTTCTCATATGGATGCTAGACATCGGCAGGGTAGTTTGTTAAAAGTTACATTCGGTGGTGCAAGTCAGCAATCTGAAGAAAGACCTTATACCAGAAATGTAAAAAGGGAAGAGACAAGTCAGTCTGCTGGGCAAAAGACTCCAAAAATTCATGAGCCCCAACCTTTTGCACGAACAAATGTCACAAAGCATGATGAAATTTGGAACAAAGAGTCTGATACATCTAGAGAGACATCAGATCATTTGTCCCCACCAATGAAATATATCACTCTTCAAACAGCGGAAGAGCTCTGGAGAAATTTTGATCCAGTGGATGTGCTAGATTCTGCAAGTGACAGAAGTGATTCTTCAACAGACACTATGATAATGATGACAACTGAGGAAGAGCAAAAAAATAAAGAAAAGATTAATTATAGTTTGAAAAAGTATGAACAGAAACATGTGGTAGAGTCAGGTTTCCACATTGATACTCATCTTGGTGAAAACAGGGACAGAACAGTGGCTGAAACAAATCGCCCAACTCAGGAATCACAAATTAGACAGCCAGTTAAAGTGTTTATAAATCAAGGCACAAATATACATGGGGATCTTAGTCCAGATGATGGTTATGGAACTAATTCTAGCTCAGGAACTGTGTCATCACCATTTTCATTGGGTTTTCCATTATCATCAACAAATGCATCAGCCGAAACTGAGAACTCCAATCATAGGACTGAAAATCGACCCAAACTTCCTAATGGTGCAATAAAACCAAAAGGTCAGACTTCAGTGCGTGATACATGGGCAGTGAAACGCAAGGCTCGAGTTAATGATACTTATGATGATACCTTACAAGAGAGATTGCAACAGTTAGCAATAATTGAGGAAGAAGAGGGTTCAGTCATGTCAGAAAATCAGAGAAGCATTCATCGAAAAGATTCAATGAACCAGCCTTCCAACAGAAATAAAAATTTTCCAAGTGAAACTGATGTTAATATGAGACAAACAAATGGTACAAACGGAAGTAGGTTGCATCCATCAGAATCAGATAGAATCAAGCAAAGGCATCATGATTTAGTCAGGAATCGGCATCAACTTCCAGATTCAGGGTATATCAGGGATCAGTCTCCTAGGTCATTTGATCAAAGTGCTAAAAATAAAACCAGGGATCAGGGTTGGGACAGGCCTAATCCACAATTTGGACATGATACTGGATCCCTTTCACCAGTTGTCACTAATAGTCAAGGAATAAGGATGGTAAGCACAAACCCAATGTACCCAAACAGAAATGTTGGACAAATAAGTGTTGGTCAGAGATCAGCTTTTGAAAATGTGAATGGTGGTGTAAGTGGCAGAAACGGCAGAAAAGTCCCACTAGTGGAACATGTTCCAGTAGGTCAAGACGATGTTTCAGCATCGGGACGACCAAATGCCCCAGTAAGAGGACAACCCAGTCCTGTAACATTGGGATATTCAGATGTACCAAGATTTGGAAAATCAAGTGTTCCAGCAGTGGGACAACCAAGTACCCCTACATTGGAACCATCAAATATTTCAGATGTCCAGGGCTATTTGGATTTGGAAGAAAATAATGGAAACAGGAGCCCAATATCCCCTTCATTGCAGGCAATGAGAGGAGAGCTCTTGGAAAAATGGAGTGATATGGATCGAAATTATCGGAATTACTGTGGCTTTGATGATAGTTTAGATGGAATGTCATTACCTGATGATATAAAAGTAAATTATTTTAAAGACAAAGTTTTGAAAAACAGCTATGGTAATGATAATTATTTTCAGCCAGATTCGTACACCACAGCAGAACCTTCCAATCAAGCTGGGAGTGCAGTAACTACCTCAAAAAGTGGTGACAAAGGAGGAACACAGAGCACCTCTAAAAATAAATTTTTTCAGTTATTACCCAGTAAGTTTAGACCGGCCTCCTATAGAAAAACAAATGCAGAAATAGAAAAAGAGCAGAACACAAAAACACCAAGATCAATATCTGGATCCGCATCTGATTTGAAAAGGCGGTCACTGGAGCCCGAGTATGTGAACATCAATGACCTAGATATTCCCTGTAGTACTTTAGGGCGCCATGTTTCAGTAGATAATCTTCACAAGCGACCAGTTTTTGCCAGTTCAAGGGATATTTGTAAAATGTTCCAAATGTCAGGGCAAGGTCAAGATTTATGGTCTCGACCAGGTTCTCAAAGGCATAGTTTTCATGCAATGCCTGCATCATACAGAAATGTAGAAAGTGATCAAAATCTGCAAGTTGAGATGAGACCCCGTGCATCATCAACGAGTGTAACAAGCAGTAATAAAACACAGATGATGCAATCTGTGGATAGTCGAATGGCAGTGATTCAACAAAGGACCAGTAAAGGTCAAGTTCACAGTGTACAGGGGCTTCAGGGAGGGAGAGGCATTACTATAGACCCATTGGCAGCTAATCAGAGAGCTATGTATTCAGAAAGGACTACAAACTCTTCAGGGTCAGTGAAAACACAGACTTCACCAGCAGACTCCAAGTTGTCAACATTAGTATAATTCATGTACAAGCCTCACAAACCCTCGTACAGTAAAATAAATTGGAATTAAAAATTCATGGTTAGAAGTTTACCATACTTTAAATTCAGAGTGATAGTTATGCATTATCATTATAATAATCCTTAAAGTCATTGTAGCATTTAGGTGTACACATCATTTGTGTTATTGGCTTTGTTTGAATTCATTACATCGATTTATTGAGGTGTGAAGTACGATGCTTACTGACACAAAGTGGCCATCTTGAAAATCTTGTTGCCAGATTACTACTGTTTAATAGATGTTCATATCAGCTGGCTTTTAGACTGAAGACTTCAGAATGACCTAAATGAAAATGGTGATCTGACATCCATATTGGTCACCATGGCAGCTATCTTGAATTTCTAATGAAATCTAATTACAGTGTGACCACACTTTAACCCAGCAGTTGAGAGCCGTAGAACCCATCATATCATAGACTGCACCCTATTAGAAGCAACCAGGTTAGTTACCTGAAGAAAATTATGCATGTACACAAAAGAATTTGCCAGAGGGGAAGGGTAGGTAATAAATGTGGGCACAAAAATACATGCTTCATTGGCACAGTTACCATCTTAACTTGATATCTGCTAAATGAGAATATGCCTGTAGTGAAAATAGAGTAGGCATACATAATATTTTACTTTATGCAGAGAACCAACCATTGGTACATATGCATATACTGTTCATATATAAATTCTGATGTATAGCATGACTTGAGTATCAACACTGTTCTTACATTTGAATCTTGTCACATGCATACAAGTAATTCCATAAAAATTATGCACACTCAAACACACATACACACACACATTTAAAATACACAAACACATGTAAAATATTCAGTAAATTTTTGTCACAGGTCATATTTGGTCTGAATTCTGTGGAAAAAATAGCACAATCATGAATGAATGATGAAGCAAATTTACTTTTCAGTACGTTCCAAGTTGGTAAAAGTTAGTTTTTGTTTTAAACCGCTGTTTGTAGTGTTCATAAGCATAAACTTTTTTCCTGCAAAATGTACACTTTCATGGCACAGTCAAAGAAAATGAAATAATCCATCAGATTCCATTGCTTTTATTTTAGTTTGGTAATGACTTCCTTTGAAGAAAGGTTCTTTGTTTTTATTGAAGATTTTAGTCAACTTTCTTTGATAAAGGGTGCATGAGTTATTGAAGTCACCGCTAATGGCCAGCATTGAAGAACCAAACAAATGCCTGTTTCACCAAACAAATGCCTGTTTTGTATTGTCACTGCAACATCAGATAATTGTGTTGTATAATTGAAATGATTTTTTGTGGGTTTTTTTCATTTGCTTAGTAAGTTTTTGTAACAATTGGTGCTTCAAAGATGATCTCTGTTCTTTGAAATTTCAGCAGACTATTTTACATTTCTAAAAAATGGTATTTGTTCAGCTGATTTTAGAAACTGTTCCTCACTGCTTATTGAATAAACAAAGGATGTTTTTTTTTTACATTAGTGGTAATGGAGTGATGCTGCCTTCCATGCATTTGTCAGAAATTTACAAAAGGGTAATGGGATGATAGATATGTAGGTGTTTTGATCTGATTACAGGGATTACTACAGAAAATGTGTGTTCTGAAGGATTTAATTCTGAATGAAAAACAGGAATTTTACTTCCTATCCACATAGAAAATTCAGTCTGTGTAAATATATTACTTTTGAGCACTGAAAATCAGATGAAAGACATATAATGAGAATAATAACTTGTTGGGTGGATCTCTGCAACCAGAAATGTCAACAGCAACAAAAAAGGTGGATATCTCACAACATACAGTACTCACATTAGATGTCAACATAAGCGGATTATGATATAATAATGCACTGTTAAGATGGTGTGTCAATATGTACAAAGAATTTATTTATGTAGCAATAGCATCAGATAAATTTCAGTGCATTTTACATCAAGTTTGCAGCTTCCTTTCATGGGACTTCTGAATTTCTCCATTCCAAGCCAATATTTGTGTACAAGTTTAAACATCCAACAATGTTGCCAATAATTTTTAAAAATTGCCAGATGTTATCTTTTGCTACCACTAAGGATAAAAACAACACAATTTGACACATTGGCAAAGACCTGTGCGATCCATGAATAAACTTGTTATACATAATGTTTCCTACTTTAAAGAAGTAAATACTGTGTACAAGAAGAATGCATAAAAATTTCAGGAGCCATGCCACAATCATTTTGCATTATTCATATGCACTTTTCCAAAATGAAAATGCTCTTTATGCATTGTACTATTAAATAAGAATTTTCTTCATGTATAAGAAAAATACATATGACATTTCAGGAGCCACACCATGACCATGTTATATATGAATTCATTTTATAATGAGCATGTTATAGTTGGGTCACACTGTAGTTCTAAATTCCAGATGCACTCATATCCAATATGGCTGTCATGGTGACCATGTTTAAGGTCTAGTTATTACTATTTCTCTTAAATAATCATGTTGACATGGATTTTTCACCAGAAGGCTTCTTATTATATCTGCAGAGTCCCGAACGAAAATGGTGCTGATCTTGCATCCAATATGGCTGCCACAGCAGACATTTTAAAAATATTGTTAAAATGCAGATTTCACTAAAATACATCTAATGATGTCAAATTTGTTTTAAACAAAAATGGTGCTGATCTTACATTGAATATGACAGACACAGCTGCTACTTCAGGACTCTTGTTATTTGTTATTGCTCAAAAATTTTAAAGCTGGTTTTATTCTCAGCAGTTACAAAGAATATATGGTCTTTTAAATTCATTGAAATTCTTTTCAGCCAGTAGAGTGTCAGTCCCATCAAGGTACTCTTGATTCATTTATATATGGCAAGGCATGTCACTGAAGGTAGCAGTAACAAAACTCTATCAATCCTTCAACAGTTTTGTGGTTTATTTTTGTAAAAGGTTTCATCAATTGATTATCACCAAATACATCATCAGACTTTTGCCCACTAACTGGTGGTGAAAAATACAATGAACAACATGACACAGTCAGATTATCTAACAGTGCTTTCAGTATTTTGTCTATTTCCCAGGAAAGTCTGTGACAACTGATACTATAATTTATGTTTCCAATGACTGAATAAATTTAAAAGGATTACAGTTTCTTTTTCTGAATTCCACTTGCCTAAATGAGAATCAAGCAATCATTTTACCACAACAAAATTAGTCATGGGTGTATATAGAACATAGTACAGTGATCTCATTATAATGCACAAGACAGTCCCTTTTTATAAAGCAGGTATGCTCATTACATTTTGTAATAGTACTACTTTATTTAATCTAATTCAGTATTATGTGACATCGTATATAACATTACAGCTTATGAATTCCTTGAAATGCATTATAGTGAAAGATGACTGATTAATGTATCTCATTACAACACCACCTCACATATAACATAGTACACGTTCTGTTTCCTTGGAACAGCTTTATAACAAAAGATGACTGCTCCAATGGCCTAGTGGTTAGAGCGTCTACCTTGGATGTGGGAGGTCATGGGTTTGATCCCCAACTGAGTCATACCAAAGACTTATAAAAATGGTACTAACAGCTGCCTCGCTTGTTGCTTAGCTTTAAGAGGTTAGTGTTAGGACTGGTCAGCCTGGTGTAAGAATAATGGGACTGGGTGGGACATCATGCTTCATGTCTGCATGATGCCCCAGTGCAAGATATCACTCTAAACTGCCACACGGCAGATATTGTAACGATATGACTAAAAGTTGTTAAAGCTACGCTAAAAATTCAAGTCACACATAACAAAAGTTGAAATAATGTACTCCTTTATAATATGATTTCACATATAACACAGTTCACTTCATGACTCCTTTGAACAGTAAGTGAATACTTGGAAACTTCTACTTGTATACACTGATGATACTTTCAGAGTACCAGACTGTGAGACTTGACACAATATTCTGTGAGGCATGAGTACACTGTCAGATTTGAGTGTTGTTGAGTTTATTTATGTGCACTGATGCAAAATACAAATCAGTTGTAATTTGGTTGCCTTGTACCTTATGATTGTGTTGGATATGCACATGATCGAGATTCAATGCCATAAACAGATTTACTCAGACATGGACCTTATTATAAAAACATCCACTTGAAAAATATGGTAATTCAGTTCAAAATATTTTCCCAGAAACAAATTCAACAAATAAATTAAAAGTAAATTCTTTGAAATCATGAATATATGAAATGAATCTAAGGGACTCAGTTAATGGCAAGAACTTCTGTCCTCTCCCTCAAATTTTATTCTGAGACTCTCCAAATAGTTGATGGAGAATTCAGGGCCTGTCTCTATCACACAGAGTTACAGGCCTTGCTTTTGCAGTTGCTGTGTCACTGCAGTGAGACCGAAATAACACAGAATTCTGAGGTTTATGTTAGGACTGAGCTGTGACAGATATCCATTTTATTTCTGTTTAGGGAAATGCCTACTACTATTGGATATGCTATTGCCTAATGCCTACTACTATTGGATATGTTATTGCCTTTGGTGGAAAAGAAGAGCACATTTGTTTCCACTATTTTCGACAATAAATTTTAATTATTAAAATAATTAGGAGAAATCATCACTTTCAGTGGTGAAAACATTTCTCTCGGAAAAGTAGAATTTTATAACTACAATTATTAGAAACAGAAACTGTTACATTATATTTTTTTTAAATTAAAAGTTATGCTTTACTGGTGTGTAGGAATGAGAAAGATACAATATTATTTTTCGTGAATCATTTCATTTTCTTTGAAAGTACATTTTTCTGTAGATTGCAATTAGTAATATTTTAAACTGCTTGTATAAAGTACAAAATGTATGCCATTACATTATTGTGTTGTTCCCTAATTAGCTTTCAGTTTTATGCATGTTATGCTTGGTCATTATTTTTGGTCAGTATGTTGTCTTGCCACATAAAATGTAACCATAATAAAGTAGTTTACATACTGTTTAGGAAGAATGAACTGTGATAATAAATACATGGAATGGGGGGGGTGGAGAAAGAAAAAGGCAAACACGACACATAATATATACAGCTGTTATTTAATCTAAAAGCACTTCTTTTAGAAACTTGCATATTTTAGCAAAATATTTTGTTTCTGTAGAAGAGCCATTTTAAATATTGCATCAAACATGTAATTTATTAAAAATTGTCATTTTTATCATACATTTTTTCTAATTTATTGACAAAATTTTTATAAATTTATCATTGAAGTTCATCATTTCTTTTCCAAATTATGACTACTACATTAATATAGCATCATGTAGCCAGTATTGTGTTGATGTGCTGTTAAATTCAAATACACACACACACGTTATTTCATTGTAGAACTCTTAATACTTTTAACAAATGTATGCTGTAATTTGTATTCTGATAATATTCTTTTAATAATTGATATCAAATGCACTTATTTAAACCTAGCTAGATATTTGAACAAGACGTACACCTTAATAATACAGATAACAGTAACAGGACTTCAGAAAATAGTTTTGCAGTTTTATTTGGGTTAAAGTCTATTTTTCTACTTTGCATTATTTAATGGTTTAAGGAAGTCTCTTAAGCATCAATTCTTATCATTATTATTATTTTGTTGCTGATTTTATTATTATTAGTATTATTATTATCAATCATATATTCTTTTAATATATTATTTTGTAGGCAAGTATGAAAAAAAATAGAATGTCTAACAACTCTGGCCAGAGTATTTCTAGAAAGTGAAGATACCTGTTTCAGGGGAAGTAATTCTTGGTGGATAAAGTACAATATTGTTAACATGTTATTTATTAGATTTTATTATTAAGGAAAGTGATTCATTACAAATATTTGTTGGGGAGGTATTTAAATTTGTTATATGATATTGTTATAAGAACAGTTGTCCTTAGATTTAAAAACTTGACTGAAAGAAAAGACAAAACAAATTTTATCTCACAAAGGCACTCACAAGTAATGAGTATTTATATAATACTTATGCATTATGCACAATTATAATATAATAATAATAATAATAATAATAATAATAATAATAATAATAATAATAGTAGAAACAACAACAATTATTATTATTATTATTATTATTATTATTATTATTATTATTATTATTATTATTATTATTATTATTATTATTATTGGGCAGCTCACTTAGTAAAAGGAAAAGTAACCCTGAAAAATTTCAGATATACAAAGGCATAGTTTAGACTTATAGAGAATGGGATGATGATAGTGTATATATATATATATATATATATATATATATATATATATATATATATATATATATATATATATATATATATATATATATATATATATATATATATATACTTGGTATGTGTATGTATTGTATTGAATTTACAGTAATGATACTTATAAAAGGTAAAATAACATGTATCAGGGTCCATATCTGTTAAGCATTTTCTTAAAACAGTCTTATTGAGGTCAGAATCAAACATTTTTAAATTCTTAAGACATGATTAAATTAGAATTTTGAACTAGAATAATTTCCATAACATCATTTTTTCTACTTGTGTGTGAATGTTCACTGACATATATGCCAATCAATTTTCTGTTCATACCTAATGTTTTGTTATTTCGTCCAGTTTGAGTTTAAAAACACAGGCTAAAGTTGAACAAACATAAAACATAGGATCTTATACCACTTATACCCATGGGCAACATGCCACAATTATGCCATGCAATTTTTTGACTTGTGATTTCATGTATGCTGCAAGAGATCTTGATCTGCCAGCAGATCATATGTTGTTAGTCCTTCATGTTCACTTCATGCATTTGCAGTTTGGTAAATGTCATTTAATAGAGTCATTTAAAGTTATTAATTCTGATAGAAACAATGTGATATCTGCATTACATAACTTGTCTGAGAACTAACTGTACAGCATTTTGCATGTGTTTAAATGCCCTTACAAAACAACCAATCAAACACCACATATTTATCTCATTACAAATACACAACAGTTATTTCTTACAAATACACCATATATTTATCTCTTTACAAATACACCATGTCTTTACCTTATTACAAATACTAATTATCTCATTACAAATACACATATTTATCTCATTACAAATACACAACATTTTTATCTCTTACAAATACACCATGTATTTACCTCATTACAAATACACCACATAATTATCTCATTACAAATACACATTTATCTCATTACAGATATTTATCTCATTACAAATACACCACATATTTATCTCATTAAAAGAATCATAAAACATAGAGCTGCATAGTACATTGACCGTTAGAGGTGGCAGGAAGACTGTGCGAGGCAATTCGATGGTTATCAATATGGTTTGGAACAACTTCTTTTGGCTATGGTTACTTCTTTATAGCACACATTCAATGGTAAACAGGCTAGACTTTGACATGCTGGAATCTTATTTTTGACTTAAACTGCACAAGAATAAAAAAAGGGTTCAACTCATTTTGTTGAATCTTATTGGTTGTTTACTTTCTCTTTTACCTTTTTGTGCTGATTTTTGTAAACAGTTGTCATTTGTACCTATAGTGATGCAGAAAGGCATAATGTTCATGCATTTACAAATAGTGTCAGTTCATGTGTTTGACATGTGAAACTGATTAGCCAACATAATTCATTACAGCCATGCAATATCTTTAAAGGTGCATGTATTGTAGTGTTACTTATGTTGTAATTACTGTGTGCTTAATTTTGTCCTGGAAGTCATACATCCCCTTATTTCAATAGACCAAGATACCCTTTTTCCTTTGATGCAAGAGCAGCATCCCTTTGCAATAACTTCGAGGTTGCCAGGCCAAAATTAAATGACCAATATTTAGATATAATTTCAGTGAACACTTAGGAAAATAAGCAGAATTTTATATATGCTTTGTAAAATTTATGCTTACTGCAAAATTGGACCACATTTTTTCTTGTTTTATTTCTAATTTTTTTTATGCATTTTAATGAAAAACCCATTAGGAATAATACATTGTTTTCCACATTTACCTCTAACTTATTGCAACTTATATAATCCTTATGTAAACTTTTAGAATGTGATTGGGATTTGGGTTAAGAATTTTATTGTGCTTAAGAACTTTGAAGGACAAATTTGATTAAAGCCATAGTCTTTGTATTAAAACTTCTCTGTCAAGATTAATGTTCAACTTATTCCTCCAGCTTGAGTTATTTCCCCTGTTCTTCAAGTTGTAAAATGTCCATGTGTCCATGTCATTTTCATGCATGCATATTTTAGCATCAAATAATTGACTTCTGTCACTTAAGTCCATGTTTATTTTGTGTGCATGGTAAAGTTAGCTTCTCAAATCAGTCTTCCATGACAATTTTATAATTTGAAAATTTCTAACTGACATACAATAAATACATAGTCAGTAATTGAAATTGTGAATAATCTTGGCCACATTAAACTGACTGAATGTTTCAAATATGAAACACAGGACATTTTTGTTTTTTTAGTTTCAAAATTTGAAGAATGTATTATTAAGTTGAAAATTTATTGATGTCTAAAACATAGGTA